TTCGGGGAGACGGGCTCCTGTCCTCCACGCCCCCCTGCAGGGCTCTCGGGCACAGGCCCTGGAGAAGCGCAGAATGTTGTGGTGCGGTGGAAAAAGGGCAGTGATTCTCAGAGGCCTGGGTGTTCGGGAGAAGGCAGCTTAGGTGACGCAGGAATATCCATTCCAATTCACGGAGGGATATCTGCTCTGGCAAGTTATAAAATACCATTTCCACCGAGGCTGTAGAATTACTTACAGGAGCCACAATGAAACCAGACAACCTTTCAATCAAGCTGCCTGTTGTTCCCGCTTCAAGGCTGGTGAAATAAATACTGAGCAAATAAAGTTAGTCGGCATCTGAGCATTTTAATGAATAAAGAGTAGCAGGAGGGCCTGGTGTGGGGAGCGGCTGCACGTCCCGGTGGGCAGCCTGGAGGCGGCCCCGTGTGACGGCTCCGGGCTGGGGCCCTCCAGCCTCCCGCCCTCCTCCTGGGGGGCGGTGGTGCTTCCTCCTCTTGCTTCCGGCTCTGGCCCAGAACCCCGGCCTGGAGACCCACCCAGAGGACCCCTCATGGCAGGACCAGGGGCCTCAACCCTGTGCCTCTAGCCCCGGAGGGATTCACATTCTCACCAGACCGGAAGGAGTTCTTGGGGTCAGCTCATCGCGCTCTGTAAGACAAGGGTCAGGAAGGCTAAAGCCCACATGAAGTCAGCCGGAAGGAAAGAAAATGTTGTTGAAGCCTTAGGAAGGGACTCTTAAAGTTGTTTTTGTGGCAAGAACAAGGAGGTGTGGGTTTGCTGATGGGCACAGATGGCATAGTGCTCGTGGGAGTTGGGGGCAGCTGGCAGAGGCAGGCTGAGAGAAGGGTGGTGGGACGGGGGTGCAGGGGGCCTCCGTGAGGGACGGCCACGGCCCGGCCCTGTGATGGGGACACCTGGCCGGCACAGGGGGCAGGCGCTGCAGGTGAGGTGGCTAGATCCCTGGGCCTCCCAGAACTACAGACAGAGCTGTAAGTCGAGAGACAGGCAAGTGTTCTCCCCACGGGGGAGAGCCGGGGAACGCTGCAGACAGCCCACGGAGGCGCTCAGCGCCAGCCCCAGGCAGGCTTCTAGAACAGATGTGGAACGGATGATGGTAGACGCAGGCAAGTCAGGGGCGATCACCCCGAATCAGGATGGCTTCCTGACAGACAAACCTCTTGTTTTCTTGCGAAGAGCTGGTAGGTCAGAGCCTGTTCTGGACGGAGGGTGAGGATTTCAGCATGGTGGTTGGCATAATCTTTCATGGCATCCTTGTGGACCAGCTGGAGGTTTGCAACCCGGATGGTATCCCACGAGGAGTGTTTGTAACAGGTTGAAGACCCGGGGGGGGGGGGGGTGAACGCCTAATAGACTGAGATCGGTCTGGAGGGAAAGTTTCTCGGGACATGGGGATCTCTGTTCTTTCAGCGACTAATGATGTGGAGGCCATGCTAATAAGATTCGTGAATGACCTCAAGCTGCGAGGAGATAATACTTTGTGCACTAGTGATAAGGAAAATAATAGCCCACGTTACAGGACACCTACTCTGTTCTAAACGTATCGCGTGTATCAACATTGAATTTTTTCAGCATCCCGACGAGGTAGGTAATATCGTTGTGCCCATTTTACAGGTAAGGAAGCTGAGGGAGAAAAGGGTAAGGTAACCAGTGACGGAACCAGGATTTAGTCCCAGCTCTTCTGACCCCAGAGCCTCTGCTCTTATCCCCTGTGCTATGAAGGAAAAAAAAAAAAAAAAAAAAAAAAAGGATTGAAAGTGAGTTCAGTGCTGGAATTATGGGCAGAACATAAGATGACATCTAATAGGGATGCATTGGAACTACTGTTTCTGGAATCAAAGGGCACCGAGACACGATGGGGTGCAGGATTTTCAGTAGCGCACCTGAAAAACTCTTAGGGGCTTGGTTGCCTGGGTCTTGGCCTGAATCGGTAGGGGGATAAGCCTTCCAAGACAGCTCCGGGACAGTGACAGGCCAGTCGGTTGATAGCCGTGACCCCAGGCTCCACGCTTTCAAAAGGACGTTGACCAAATGCAGCAGGTCCCCGCCGAAGGAGGGGGTCAGAAGGGTGGAGTCAGGAAGCTCTGACCGCAGTAACTAACTAGCTGAGTAATATGTCAACCATTGAGGAATGGCCTGACGTAACTGGAGGCAGGTTGGGGACGGTATGGTTGTTACCCGTGTGGCACCTGTGTGGCTGGCGTGTCCACAGGGACTGGACTGACTGCATCTCCAAAGGGAGGACCCAGGACCCACGTGGGCAGACTTTACAGGGAGGCGCGTTTTGGCTCAGTGCAAAGAAGCACTTTCTAGGTCTTGAGGCTCTCCGGCATTGGGCCCGTGACTGGAGCATTATTTGGGGAAATACCTCAGCACTTGCCCAGCACCGTGCTTAGTGCACGATCGTTGGGCTTATGGGGATTTCCTTAAGCGTGCGAGCCCAGACAACCACTGCTTGTCGGTTCACCCGAGCCTCAGTGTCCTCATCTGTAAAATGGGGACGATAAGGCCTACCTTGGGCATCTTCTGCAATAGGCACCGGTAAATGCTTCCCCGGAGGACAAAGGCTGTGCCCTGCCCCTGTCGCGGGGTTTCCTTCGCTCAGCCTCGGGAGCCCACGGCTCGCGGTGACCATGGTGGCTGCCGCGTGTTTCTTGAGTGCGTGCGCTATGCTAAGAGCGTTTCTGGCCTTCAACCCTCGCCGCACCCCCTGGAGGTAAGTGAGGAAACCGGAATGCAGACGGCGGGACAGCCCAGGTGGAAGCCAGGTGTGGCTGACTCAAGTCCATGCTCGGATGTCACTCTGCTGGGACTGAGCGGCTTCTTTGGGAAGTGAGGAGGAGGAGGAGGAGACCGAGAGGGGCTCGAAGGCCGCAGGGGGATCGGTCCGGCGTTCCCCTCGAGTGGCATTGCTGCGGAGCCCTGGAGCGGGGAGCTGGCTCGCCTCGCGCTCTGGCCCCGGCTCCTTCGCCCCCCTCCTCTCCTCCAGCAGCAGGCTTTCCCCTTTCAGCCTGTCTGACTCCGTCTCGGCACTTTGTCCTGCTAATTCCCAGGCTGGAGGGCGTGTGCACTCTTCATGCCATTCAGCCTTAATTAGAAGTTCCTGACAGCTTGTTTGGGGCCCTGTCAGGCGCTCTGCCTCGCCTGGCACCCATAAGTAAAAAGGAAAATTGCTATCTGCTCCCTACCTGGATGCCTGGGTGTCCCTGTGAGCGGCATGTGTGGGCGGGGGAGGGTGGGGGCTGCTCACAGGCGGCTCCTATTCTGGGCCTGCCTCTGCTGACTGGGCATCGGCGGGGACCAGCGGGGGCTCCTTCCCTTCAGGGTCCGCCAAGGGCTCCGGGCGCCACGGCTGGGAGGGACTAATTGATAGGGACTCGATGGAGGCTGCAAGGGAGGGCAGGTGGGATGGTACACCACTGGAACTTTCCTACCCAGATTCCGAGTCCTTTCTGCCTCGGAAACCGCACGTGTGTTCAGGGCCAGAGGCCACAGACCACAGTCGGCTCTTTTTTTTTTTTTTTTTTTTTTTTATTTATTTTTGGGACAGAGAGAGACAGAGCATGAATGGGGGAGGGTCAGAGAGAGAGGGAGACACAGAATCGGAAACAGGCTCCAGGCTCTGAGCCATCAGCCCAGAGCCCGACGCGGGGCTCGAACTCCCGGACCGCGAGATCGTGACCTGGCTGAAGTCGGACGCTTAACCGACTGCGCCACCCAGGCGCCCCTTTTCTTTTTTTTTTTAATTTTTTAAAAAATGTTTATTTATTTTGGGGACAGAGAGAGACAGAGCATGAATGGGGGAGGGGCAGAGACAGAGGGAGACACAGAATCGGAAGCAGGCTTCAGGCTCTGAGCCATCAGCCCAGAGCCTGACGCGGGGCTCGAACTCACGGACCGCGAGATCGTGACCTGGCTGAAGTCGGACGCTTAACCGACTGCGCCACCCAGGCGCCCCCACAGTCGGCTCTTTAACTGGCGATGGGTCACGGGGACGTGGTGCGAGGCGAGTTCGGGTCGGACATTTTTCCAGGGACAACAGAATGAGACAGCAGACGCCTAACCCCCTGAACCTTCTGCCCACTGACCAGCCTCGAAAGACTGTCTCAAGAGATAAGCAGTTAAGATTCTAGAACGGTGAACTAGACCTCCTGGGTTCGGATCCCTCGTCTGCCCTTGCTAACCTATGTGCCCTTGGGTGAGTCGTTTCACCTCTCTGGACTTGGTTTCATCATCTGTGAAGTGGGCATAATCATAAAGTGGTAAGGATCAAGAAAGCCTTCGGAAGAGTACCTGATTTCTAGTAAGCACTCCACACTAGGAGTATTATCCTTATTCCAAGATTCTTAACGAGAACAAGCGGGTACAGTGGTTTGAATTCCAGCTACACTGCCTGTTAACGTTGTGGTCTTGGGCAGAGAAGCTAACCCTGCCTCTGAGTTGCTTGATTTCTGAAAAGGGAGTGTCCTAACAGTGCCCACCTCCTAGGGTGACGGTGGAGATTGAACGAGATTATGTGTGTAAAACGCTCAGCACGCTGCCTCGTAGAGGGGTCAGGAAAACTGTAGCCCTCAGGCCAAATCAGACCCACCACCTGTATTTGTAAATAAACCTTAATGTGAACCCAGGCACAGTGGTTTTTTTCCCCCTTTATAAACATGGTCCCTGCTGCTGAACTGAAAATATTTACTATGTAGCCCTTTAGAAGAAAAAGCTTGCTGCCCGCCGGCCTAGAACATAGTAAATGCTCATGAAAGGCTAGCTGTCGTTATTACCGGGTGATTGTAGCTGAAATCCCCTAGCTGCTTCACAGAAGAGTTTTGACCCCAAGCCGGCACTGGCAGGTAACCAGAGGGGCGCCTGGGTGGCTCAGTCGGTTGAGCGTCCGACTTCGGCTCAGGTCATGGTCTCGTGGTTCGTGAGTTCAAGCCCTGCATCGGGCTCTGTGCTGACAGCTCAGAGCCTGGAGACCACTTCGGATTCTGTGTCCACCTCTCTCTCTCTGTCTGTCTCTCTCTCTGTCAAAAATAAAGATTTAAAAAAAAAAAAAAAAAAAAAGCCTTTCTAACCAGAGAGGGATTTTTAAAGGTCTGATATGATGGGGGTGAGGGGAATGCTTATCTTGTTTGTGTGTATTTTCAGAAAGGAAATTGGGAGCAATATTTCGTAGGCCATACGCCCTCCCCCTGAGCCACGTATTTTCTGTCTTAAGGGATATCAGTGATTTAGGAGCTCTTCAATTAATTAATTAATCCCATTAATGAATTCTGTCACCGAGGAAATTCTCATCCCCCACCCCCTGCCCATACCCCTTACTCCAAGAAATCTCTTGCTGGATTTCAAATATCCAGACGTCTCTGTGTTATTGGACAAAGGCCACCGCAGCTTTGCTTAGAACTGTCCACACACTTCTGTCCTCCGAAGCGTGGGGCCTCTTGAAGGGTCTGGGAGCCTCCTTGGGGGTCATTCCGGCCTGAGAACCCTGCCCGCCCGCAAACGCCTTGCTGGCCCAGGCCAGGCCGGGGGTGTGTGGGCTGGTGGGGGAGAGGCTGGAGCCCACGTCTGCCGTGCCCCGCCGTACTATCCGCTCAATTGTTACGCTGTGTTCCGGAAGCTTCTCCTCCTGCGGAGGGACGTGCGGCAGTTAAAATATTAATCTCTGGCATGTGGCAAACATTTAAAATATGCTGAGACATGGGAGCTGTTGAGCGGGGGCCTTGTTGACACGCTGCCTCACCTGGGTACTGTTTGCTATGTAAATGCCACGGATTCCTCCCGAAAGTTGGAACCCGTGCTTCGTATTTCCTCCTGTTGACCAATGGGTGGGGGGCAGAGTGGTTCGTCCCCCGTCCTAACAGGTGCCTTTCTGGGCAGTTCTTGGAGAACAAGCCAAGAGGTGTGTTTTCGTGCCAGTTGCCAGGGAGCCCTTGAAAGGACTGATTTGGGGGTCTCGTCAGGACCAGCTGTCCTGGCCTGCCTTGAGCCCGCCCTGGGCCCTGCCCCCTTATATACTTGACCCTTGAACTACACGGGGTTGAACTGTGTACAGATTTTTTTCGATCGATGCAGTCCGGTGCTGTAAATGTATTTTGTCTTCCTTATGATTTCCTTAATAACATTTTCTTTCCTCTAGCCGACTGTGTTGTAGGAATACAGTATAGAATCCATACAACAGACAAAATATGTAGTAATCTCCTGTTTATGCTGTTGGTGAGGCTTCCGGTCAACAGGAAGTTCCGGGGGGAAGTCAAGAATTAATACGTGGGGGCGCCTGGGTGGCTCGGTCGGTTAAGCATCTGACTTCCGCTCAGGTCATGATCTCATGGTTCGTGGGTTTGAGCCCCGCATCGGGCTCTGGGCTGACATCTTGGAGCCTGGAGTCTGCTTCCGATTCTGTGTCTCCCTCTCTCTCTGCCCTTCTCTTTCTCTCTCTCTCTCTCTCTCTCTCTCAAAAATAAACATTAAAAAAAAATAATATGTGGATTTTTGACTTCGCCCCTTTTGTTCGGGGCTCAAGCGTAGTTCACAAGGGGCTTGACGCTGTTCCTCAGTGCCCAGCACACAGCATAGAGCAGGCGAGGCAGGGACCTAGGATAGTCCCAAGCCCTCCCCGCGCCCCACCCACAGCAGCCATTGCTGGGGGAGCAGGATGGCCTTTGCTGAGCTCCCAAGCAGCTTTGCGCTCCTTATCAACACCGGAAGCCACCTCCAGTCACTTGGAAGCGGGCTGAGATGACACCACTTAGTTGTCCTCGGTGCAGGGAATGAGGACTGATGTCAGAGAAGCTCTGATGGAGGGTTGAGGGCCTTCTGAGGGAGGATGGAGCCCTTCCAAGTGGAGACAGGCAAGGCTTCATGGAGGAGGTGACCTTTGAGGGGTGTGTAACACAGAAAGTGTGGCTGGGGAAGGACGGCGCGCGTGGAGGGCACAGTAGGGAGCACCAGGGTGTGTCCTTGGCTTCTCTCGCTCTACCAGGTGGCAGGAGCCGGCCTAATCACCCGTCCCAGTGATGGAGGCTCGGAGCTGCCTCTCGACCTTGGCTTCCCTCGGGGGGGCTTCCCTTAGCGAGGAAAAGCCTCCAGAGATCCTTTCCTCCCTCTGGAAGAGTCTCCATCCCAAACAGAGCAGAAAGCAAATGCCACCAACCTGGTCTCAGACACGCCAGTCATCTAGCCGAGGTTTGGCAGACGTTTCCCTGTAAAGGACCAGAGAGGAAACATTTTGGGCTTCGTGGGCCATAAGATTTCTCGCAGCCGCACAGCTCTGCCGCGTAGAGCGAAAGCAGCCGCAGACTGTATGTGAACAAGCAGGTGCGGCCGTGTTCCAAAACACCTTTATCCGTGGACGCTGGAATTTGAATTTCATGTGACATTCATGTGTCATGAAATGGTCTCCTTCTTTCGATTCCCACCCCCCCCCCCCGGCATTTCAACCATGGAAATGGCCAGTCGTAGCGCCCGTGTGGCACTCCTGCTCTAGCCGGATCGCGCCTCACACTCGGTTGGCCCTTCTGACTTCCAGCTCTCCGCTCTTGCTCGGTGCACTCACCTGTTCCGACAGGGTAGGGTCACGCAGAGCTCAGGGCGTTCACGTGGCCGCGGTCTGTCTCCCGACGGGGAGGTGGGCGCAGGGTTGTCGAGGTGAAGCTCGTAAAACCAAAAGCCAAAGCTCTTGTGTGGGGACAGCTCTCCAAGCTGCCCCGGCTCTTTCCGGAGACCTCAGTGGCCAGAGAGGGTCAAAGATGAGGAGGTGGAGACCCAGGGAGCGGAACCGATTTGCTCAAGTTCCTCAGCTGGTTAATAGCCCAGCTGGGACGAGGATGCCGGGCATCCGGGCCCCAGCGTCTTTCTGCTCTCCGAGAGATAAAAGGGTCTCCGGGTTAAGCATGTTCTTGTCCCCTTGCTCCAGGCTGTCAGAGAGGGACCCTGGCCTCTGCTGCCATTGTCGCTCAGGCCCACTTGGTGCTGCAGCTTCTGAGAAGGACACAGCCAATAGGCACCAGCGTCGGGTAGCAGAGAGAGAAGTAAACCATGATAAATTGCTCCTAATGCTGCTGGGTGACTGAGATAAAGCCTTGATTGTTTGGGCAGCATAAATCAACACCCTGAGCTGGATGGGAAATAAAGCAATAATTTAAATCTATTTTCAGGGTCTTGTGGGCCGAGTGACCGACTAGGAATTGATATCCCAGAATGGAGTAATGGATGGGGGAGGGTTATATATGGTTAAACCACACCGAGTGGATATCTCTGTACTCCCCCAGGCCTGTCGCCAGCCCTGTGGGTGGGCTCCAGGCAGAACCATAACTCCTGCCTCTGCTCTGTGAAGAGGTCCCAGTCATCCACCTGCCTGCTGGCCTTCCCCAGCCAGCCCACCCACAGCCAGCCTCTGCCCCTCCCCCTCCCCCCAAGCACCCCAGCCCCTCCCGCATCAGGCTTGTTAGGCCCTTGGTGGGCACAGAGGATTCAAAGATGCACAAGTGAGATTAGTGTCACTAGGTGGTAAGTTCCATGAGATCAAGGGCTGTGACTCTGTAGTTCACCACCATGTTCCCAGTGCCGAGGACAGCGCCTGGCACGTAGCAGGTGCTCAGTATATTTTTTGGTGAATAAGAAGATGACCAAGCCAAAAATAACAATGACGTCGCAACGCAGCATTAATTGCCACAGAGAGAAGAGATCGTGGCGGGGCTGGAGGGGCAGCAGAGAAGGGGCGAGGGCGCCATTATTTCTGGGACATCACGGGATGGCTAAGGGAAGCTGAAGAAGAGGCAAAAGCTCAGCTGAGTCTCGAGATGGGAATGGAGTTGGTCAAAGGAACAAGGAGGGGAGGAGGGCATTTCAGGGGGTGGGACAAGCTCGAGCAAAGACCCAGAGAAGATAAGAACCGTTGGATTCAGAAACCAAAGAGCGTTGGGAACTTGAAGAACGGTCACGCCAAGCCAGCGCGTTACGGTTTCTGGTTTCAATTCATGTCTTCCCACACTGCTTTCTCTTCTTCCTGGCGTGGTCTCTTTTGGTGTGTGATAAACCGCGTGGGTGGGAGGATGGGCGTTTGCGTGTTCAAGGGACGGCGTGAGAGGAAGACACCTGGACTGGTTAGAAGCCCCAGGGTGACCGTTCCAGCCTCCTTGAACCAGCCCCTTCGAACCTTTCTTGTTCTTCCGCTCCACCTGTGGAAAATGGCAAGGTGGGTAGAAGGCCGTTAGATGACCTTCTGGGCTCTTACTGATGCTTTAAGCCATTTCTGGACAGACACCGCGGGTCTCGCTCCTTCAGCCCTTAGCCACGCGCGTGTTAGGCACTTGGTAGACTTCAGTGCTTGGTGATGGGTAGCTTCAGGACAGGTTTCCCTGTCTCTCAGAAAAGGGGAAAAGTTGAAGCTCCTCAAGAAACATCGGAGCGATAGATGGTTTCCCGCCTTAATTCAAACCGTAGTAACAGTAAGGCCCAAAGAAACACAGGTGACACAGTCCCGGCACCTTAGACGCATTAACTCAGTTAATCCGGCAACAAACCCCGAGGGATAGCTGCTCTGGCTACTTCCCCTTCCACAGATGCACAGATGAGGATCCGGAAACATGAACTAACTCACCCAGCGGCATATAGTTATTAAGCGGTAAAGCCGGGGATCGGACCAGTAGTCAGGCCAACCACGATGATGTGACCACCGTGCTCACTTGCCCCGTGCCGCTCTGTGGGCTGCGGAGATGGGCGCTCAGGATGGTGGTTCCAGGTCGACTCTTCCCTCAGCGGCGGAGTCTGGCGAGGCATTCCACCCCTGCCACCCACCACCTTCCCCGTGGCCACACAGCCACAGGCCGTTGGTCCCTACAAGGTGGTGACATGGACGGGCTCTGCAGAATCTGTCAAGGCCTGACGAGGGGACACATCTGAACGGGCGACGGAGGTCGTAAATTGTTATGTTCATTATGTTTGTTTTGTTTGGCGTAATTAATGGATCTATTAAGCTTAATCAAGCTCTGACCTCTTTTATAACCATTATAAATCAGCCCAAATAGCTCTGGCAGGGGGGTTGGCGTCGTGTTTGCAGGCCTCCCTGGGAGAGAGTGGTCATTCCCTGGGCAGGGATGGGACTGGACGCTACCAACAGGGCATTGGGAATGGAGGGAGCCATGGGGAAACTGAGGCAGGGAGGCTTGTTATGTGAGTCCCGCGTCAGCGGCAATGGTTCATGTTTCTGTAAGTCCGACGTGGTGGGGGGTGGGGGTTTGCTGCCGGACGGGGGGTTGGGAGGGAGGAAATAAAGAATCTCACATACCTTCTACCTCTTGGCCCTAAAACTGGCTTTCCTAAGGAGTGGTTTACTCCACACGGCCCCAGAAAGGGGGCTGGCATGGAGGAGAGGTGGGGAGGGAGAAAACGGGGAGCCCTGGGGGAGGAATTAGAGGGGCAGAGCTACCGCCCAGAGCACGAGCCAGGACGAGGACAGTCATGTCTTTTGCATCTCTGCTCTCTCTGGTTTGGTGAGCAGAGTGATTGGGTGTGATTGAGCAGGGACGCAGACGCTCGTTCTCAGCTATTAGGATGAATGGATCCCCGGGATACCAGCAAGGATGCTGTTGCCTGCGTGCACTTTAATACTAATAAAAAAAAAAAAAAGGAAACTAACAAAATACCATGCCCCATCATTAAAATGCAGAAGCAGATAAAGAGCAGCTCCTGTGTAATTACCAAAAATTTTTATTTCCATAAGAAACCAGCGCTTCATAAATGTTCCAACCTGAGCCTTTCTCTCCAGGGAGACTGGATTTCTATGAATATAGAAATTTGGTAATTGCCCCCGAAACCCTGCTTTTCTGTGTTAATGAGTAGCCGGACGGAGCTTGCTTTTTGCTTATAGCCCTAAACAGAACAGGTTCCTTCCCCATCGCAGGGTCCGCGAGCACCCACCCCCACCCCCACCATCCACACACATTAGACCCATTAGGGCCTCAGGGTTTGGGTTTCAGGAGGAGTGATTTCTTCTCAGGGGAAGAAGGAAGTGGAAGAGGTCTGCCAGTCAGGAGCCTGGTTCTGCGTTTCCCCAATTGCATATATATTCTTCCTTACCACGGGCATGCATTTTTTTTTTTTTATTTCAGTGCAACGTGCTCTAAAAAAAAAAAAAAAAATACATGCACTATTAGATTAAAAAATGTACAGCATTATATAGCTTATAATGCCATGGTAGATTTTAAACCTCTAAAAGCATATGCATTAGAGCAATTTTCTAAACTAATATAGCAAGAGGTCCACAAAAGCATTGCAACATTTGATAATGGTTGCCATCTTCAGTTGGAGATAATGATGTTAACAAATGTAATGGGAGTAATGAATGGAGATTCAAAAAGCTGCTTTTGTTTAATTTTTTTGTAATGCAAATTCAGTTTGGGCCTGCGAGAGAGGGGAATGGGGGGAAAAAACCCTCTTATTTGAAACGAATCTTAATCCTAGCGGATGAGAGGCCAGTTATAAGCAGAAGTGGCTTCGTTGTGGAATTAAACAACCCAGAGATGCAATTATGAAGGTGATGGGGACGAAATTGGAAGGAGGAGGAAAAAAAAGGAGCTGCAGAATCGAATCTTCTTTCTTGAGGGTGGAATTGCAGATGTTTGAGTAAAGAAGCCAAGGATGTTGTCCCTGGAGTTGTCTGTGCCAGGGATTGGATGCCTGTGCCCGGTGGGCAGAGAGGGTGGAAGAGAAGAAACGATGGTGGGGGAAGGAAATGCCCTGGACGCGCATCCAGGCCAGATTGCTCTACGGGACCCTGAGCTTTTTTATCAAGCCCCACAGCTGGTTCCATGCAGGGACTTCAGCAAGCTCTTCTGCCCCTCAGCTTTTCTCTTCTGTAATTTGGGAGCACCGGTGCCTTCTCACAGTTAGTGCACTTTTGAGGGCGGTGGGGTTCACATCTTAACTCTTCAAAAGAAAGGAGGGTCGCCCAATGCAGAGCAGCGGTAACTTCTCCCAACCACATTCTGCTTTGCCCTTCGCTGGGCTCAGCCTGCCCCACCAAACAGAAATCATAGCTACAACTTTGATGCACAGAGGAAAAAAGGCTGTTCAAGAATGCCGTCCTGGAAGGCTCTGCCAGGGTCACTTAGGAACGCACTCAATTTTCTTGGTTTTCTCTGGAGAAGGCAAGAGCAGCAAAGCTTGACCACTGGATACGCTTCTCTAACATTCTGCCCATCTTGGGGGCGGGGGTGGGTGTAGATCCAGAACAGGCCTCCCTGAGTACAGCCGTGTGACTTTGAAGTGATCCAACTCCAATTGCATTGATGACAGGTACCACGCGGCTTCGGGCTCAGCATGCTCTTGCTTTCGAGTATGTTCCATTTCCCCAATTAGACTGTCAACCTGCAGAGGGCAGAACTCTAGTGTGGCTGCTGGGTTGTGTCTAGGGCCGTCCAGATGCTGGGACCAGCAGACATCACCTGACAGTTACCATTTCTTGAGTCCCCTGCGCGCAGGTACGTCTCTAGCATTTTTCAATTCATACTAACAGCAACCTACCAGGTAGACACTGTGATCATCCCCGTTTCACAGACAGGGAAACTGAGTCATGGAGGGGTTAGATCACACAGTCACGCAGGTTGTGAGCGGCAGACTGCAGTTGAACCGAGAGTCTGTTTCCCCAGTTCTGTCTAGTCCCTAACCCTAACCCTAACCTGGATACATTTGTGGGTCGCTAAAACTGGGGAGGCCGCTCTTTGCTCAAAATGTGTGTCAGATCCCAGTGTCCACGGGCAGGAAGCCATGACTGGAGCCCAGCCCAAGGAAGGCTGTCTGCCGGCTAAAGACAGGTTTTGGGGGTAAAGTTACTCTTAGGAAGAGTATCAGAGAATGATACGATTTTGAGAGGTGCAGAGAAGTGGGGAACATGGCTTACAGTCCCTAGCTTCCCCAATTTACACATTAATTAATCTGAAATTACAACATAGATTTTTATGATTAGCAGCGACATCTCAGTGAGCAGAGAAGGAACCTTTAACAATGATCCCAAGATGAATCTGGGAGTTGAAATATCCATGCAATAAACAAGGCCGTGTCAGAGGAAGCAAAGTAAAATGCGAATCCCGGGCCGTCAGAACAGGAATCTGTCAGCGGGACAAGGCCTTCTTGGACCCGTTCCTCGCAAAGGGGACAGCCTATCCTTGCACCAAGGGCAGGGCTGCGCTGAGGCTGGGTGGAGTCCGGTGATAGATTTATTCTTTGCATGTCTTACGGAGGAGGCCCGGCATGAGGCAGGGATGCTGAGCCGGCTCTCTGCATCGGGGTCTGTCTTAGTGTCATTGTCACCTTTAGGGATTGGATCCTCAGGGACCTGGGCCCGGACCAGCTCTCTGGGGTCTCCTTTCTCACAGCTGCTGCGCTGAAGCTGGTGGATCAGGACACTTGCCTGTTGCCCAGAAGATGCTAACCTATTGGCTTCTGTCTTGTGAAACCTGACCCCAAGCCTAGTGAAACTGGAAGGAGCTTGGGGGTGGGGGAGGGAAGGATGTGGTTATGTAACGATCTGCCTCCCCGTGAAATTTATTGAGATAAATAGCCCCTTTTGGGCTACTTTAATGGACTGAATATTTCTTTACCCTCCCCCTGTCCCGACGCCGAATTCGTGTGTTGACGTCCTAACCCCCCACGGGACTGTATTTGAAGACTGCATCAGTAGGATCAGTGTCTTTATAAGGAGAGGGCACCCAGGACCACACTCTCTCCCCTCTCCACCATGTGAGCACACAGCAAGGAGGCAGCTGTCTGCAACCCACAGAGAGCGTCCTCACTGGATACTGAGCCTGCTGGCACCTTCATCTTTGGATTTTCACTCTCCAGAACTGTGAGAAAAGAAATTTCTGAGATTTAAGTCACTTAACCAGTGGTATTTTGGTATGGAAGCCCAAGCTGAGTGAGATGGCTGCCATCTTGTTTCATGATGGCTACTGGCTGGCTGACCCCCCCCATTGATACTAGGCTGTATCTGAAGTCCTATAGTAATTTATTGAGTTTGGCATAAGTCAGGTACCTCATTTCAATTTATTCCAAACTGAAAAGTCCACGAGGTGGGATCAATATCCTTATCTCACAGTTGAGGAAACTGAAGCTCAGAGAGCTTAAATTTCTTGCCCAAGTCAAAAAGCAAGTGGGTACACTTGAAGCTTCTCCAGCTTGGGCATACTATGATTCTAGGATAGGACTCTGCCTTGGATGAAATCAGGATGGTTTCCTGGGAGGCATGTCATGGGAGCCTGCACCTCAACCCACCGCCGACCTCCAGTAGGACTCAGATAGCCTTGGGCCTTGATGGGACGCTATTGTTTCACTTGTGTGCACTGTACCAACTCTGACCCACGCTCCCTGCCCATGTCTCCAGAGCACCCGAAAGCACCCACTCCCGGGACAGCCAATGTCCCTGCTGAAAATGAAAATATCAGGAATGCCTTAGGTACAGAGGAATGTATCAATTCCTCAAAAGCAAAATATTAGCCACTAACATTTCTTGAGGGCTTACGATGTGCCAAGCACTGTCTGTTTACTATTTCACATGACTTGCACATCCATCCTTTGAGTTCGGTATTACTGATCATCCCCGTGCTATGAAAAAGGAAATTGAGACTTAGAGAGGTTAAGAAACTTGCCCAAAGTTAAACAGAATTTAATTGGTTTGGGAAGAACACAAGGACCTTGAGTAACGAAGGAAGTTTGAGATTAGCTTGAGGAAGTAGGAGACCAGCCCACTTTACAGCAGGACCGTCCAAAGAGATTTGGACAGATGGTGAGTTTCTTGTCAGTAGTCTTCCAGCAGAAGGGAGACGCGCCCCCCCCCCCCCCCCCGGAGACGATGTGACAGAGCTGTGGATACTGGGGTTACATTAAGCAGGTTTGAAGTCCCTTCTGACCCAAGTCTTCTTGGCTGCCCACAGTTAGTGTGGGAAAATGGAATGTCACACTGTCCTGTGGATAGGAGCGGGCAGTGTAGGGCCCAGAGCAAGAGGCAGGGTATATGGAAAACACAGTCTGTGCTTTGTGACAGACGGTTCTCACATTCACCTTTGCCCTAATCCAGTCTGGGTCTTCACCCCTTGGTGAGTTTACACTGGGAGTCCGGTCTCTTTTTTAACCTCTCAGGGATGGAGAAGGCTACTCGCCCATGCTCCAAGACTGGAAAGATGGCCTCATGGTACCACT